GGGCGCAAATGGTAGCTTTTATTTCTTTGAAGGATAATCTCTTGTTACAGAAATCGTGGTTAACATGGTTGCGAGAAGAGGATGGAAATACAAAATTCTTTCATTCTTGTATAAATCGAAGGAGGTTTAGGAATGAAATTCGATCGTTAGAGGTGGCGAATGAGAGGTATTATGAGCCTTTTGCTATTAAAGAGGTGGTCACAGGTTTTTTTGAGAAACATTTTGAGGAGAGGTCTAGTTTTAATGAGCCTTAATGATCCAACTTTTAAAACTTTGCAGGATGATGAAGTTGCATCTCTAATTTTTCCTTTTATCGAGGAAGTAGTGAAAAATGCAGTGTGGGATCGTGATGGATCAAAAAGCCCTGGCCCTGATGGTTTCAATTTCAATTTCATTAAGGATTTTTGAGAGACAATCAAATCTGATTTTATGGCTTTCATTCATGAATTTCATGCATATGGGAAGCTAGTTAAGGGTTCTAACAGTTCCTTTGTGGTCCTTGTGCCTAAAATAGATAACCCCCAAAAAGTGGAAGAATACCGACCGATCTCTCTTATTGAGTTCATGTATAAGGTGTTGGCAAAGTTATTAGCAAATAGATTGAGGACGGCTATTGGATCAGTAATATCTAAGTGTCAAATTGCTTTTGTGAAGGGAAGATTAATTTTGATGGTGTTGTGGTGGCAAATGAAATTTTAGAGGAAACAAAGAGGAAAAACAAGCATGTTTATTTTTCAAGATTAACTTTGAGAAGGCGTATGATTCTGTTAGCTGGGATTTTCTTCAGTTTGTGATGGAGCAGATGAGATTCCCTTGTAAATGGAGGAGGTGGATAATAGAATGTTTATCTACTGCTCAGGTTTCAATTCTTGTTAATGGTAGTCCCTCTAGTGAATTTGGGGTTGCCAGGGGATTACGATAAGGAGATCCTTTAACACTTTTTTTTTTTATTTTTACTTGTTGCAGAGGGTTTGAATTCCTTGATGACTAAAGCAATTCAGATGCAAGTTTTTAAAGGCTATTATGCTGGTCGAGAGGCCTCTTGAAAAAATGTTTGGGCCATCAAATCTATTTTACAACTGTTTGAGTTAGTAGCTGGGTTGAAAGTAAATTTTCACAAAAGTAAGCTTTTGGGAGTAACATTGATTCAGAGATACTAGGCCCAATGGCTAATTTTTTGAATTGCAAAGTTGGTCATTTTTCGTGTTCTTATTTGGGTTTGTTTATTGGGGCCAACCCCAATCGGTTTTCAACTTGGCAAACTGTTATTTCTAAGGTGGAAAAAAGGTTGACTAAGTGGAAAGGCAAACTCTTGTCTTTTGGCGGAAGACTTGTCTTGTTGAAATCTATTTTAAATTCAATCCCAATCTACTTCCTTTCTTTTTTCAAGGCTCCCACAGGTGTCATTTCTCAACTTGAGTCTTTACTTAAAAATTTCCTTTGGGGTGGGGATGATGAGCATAGGAAAATAGCTTGGGTTTCTTGGGATGATGTGTGTAAAGGAAAACATCATGAGGGGTTGGGTGTGAGAGATTTGAGATCTTTTAATTTAGCTTTATTAGGGTAGTGGAGGTGGCGTTTGTTAGTGGAGAGAAATTATTTGTGGATTAAAGTGATCACTTCTATTTATGGGGCAGTAACTTCTTTGAATAGGAGAGGTGGTCGTAGAGGGGTATCTAGATTGTGGTATGACCTGTGGAATATTGAAGAGGGTGAAACAACTACATGTAATTGGTTTTCTAAGGAGTGTGTGAGAGTAGTGGGGAATAGTAGGAATACTTCCTTTTGGAAGGATTCTTGGTGCACTACAAAACCTTTTTGTGAGAGGTATAGTAGGTTGTTTTCTATCTATAACAATAAAGAGATGTATGTGGCGGATATGAAATTATGTAAGGAGGGAGATGGTGGGTGGAATTGGTGTTGGAGGAGGCAATTATTTCAGTGGGAGCAATCTCAGTTATCACTTTTGATGATGGATCTAACATGTGTTCAAATGGATGATACAAATGATGATTCTTGGAAGTGGTCAGCTGATCCAAGCAGACTTTATTCAGTTAAGTCAGCTTACTATGTAATTGTTAATGCCTCAATTTTTGCAGAAATCCCTCTTCATAAGTTCATATGGTGTAGGCTTGTCCCTTCCAAGGTTTCTTGTTTTGCTTGGAGGGTGATGCTTGACAGAATCCCAAACCAAGTTAATCTTGCGAAGAGGAATTTGTTATTGTCTTCGGATTCTGGTTGTGTGTGGTGTAATCAAGGTCTTGATACCTCTTGCCATATATATATTTTTAGTGTTCCTTTGCATACCAAGTTTGGATGTTGTGTTTGGAATGGTGTGGCCTCTTTGCTACTCATCAAAATAATTTCATATCTCATTTTGAGCAGTTCTTAGGCCTTCCTAGTTGTGTTGCTAAAAATCAGTACAAATGGGTGGTGATTTGGTTGGCTTCAATATGGAGTCTTTGGTTGGCGAGAAATGAAGCTGTATTTGCTAATAAATTCACATCTCCAAAGGATCTGGTTGAATTGATAAAACTACGTTCTTGGAAGTGGCTGAAAGCTAAAAATCTTGGTTTTTACTATCCATTCTCTTGTTGGTCGGGGCAACCTACTGCATATCTTAATCTTTATTAAGTTGTCAACATTAGTGTTTCTGGTAGTTATGTGTAGCAGCTTCTGAATTTGGTTTTTAGTGGTCTTTGCTACTACTTCTATTTTCCTATATTTGTTGTATGGTCAGATAGAGATATGGTTTTCATCTTTATGCTCGGTTGGTGGATGGTGAGGTCATGGAGTGTTAGTTTTTTTGTTTTTCTTAGTGATTTTGGTTGACTTTGTTTGTTTTGGATTACTTTTGGTCTGGTTTTTTTTATTTTACCTTATAGGTTATTTAAGAAACTGGATTTGTCTATCTAGTTTTGATTATTTTTTGTAACTATTGATGGGTTGGAGCACCCCTTATACTCCCTTTTAATATATTTTATTTTGCCTAACAAAAAAAAAAGAGAATAATTTCACAAATATTTCTTTATTAATTAAAAATATTTTTAATTATTTAAAATTCTTTAAATTATTTTATAAAATCTCTTTAATTAATTAAAACGTGTTTTAATTATTTTAAAAAACTTAAAGTGTTACATGCTGATGCGATGTATATAATGTTAAAGATAGAGTCTGTCTTATAGTTTGCTTAAAGACAATGTTAATTAATAACCAATATTTTTGTAGTTACCGGTAAAAACCTAGGAAAAATTAGGTTGTTTTAGCAACCATACTAACGACAATTTTAATGGCCACTGAAAGTAGCTTTTTAATTTTCATTTCAGCCCTTTAATGACTTCTATTATTGCTGGTAAAATCTCATTTTGTTGTAGGTGTAATCTAATTATTGTTTAACTATAATATGATTAGACATGACTCCCTTATGAAATTATAAGGTTAGTGTTCTTATTAGACAAGTCTTGTCGATTGATATCTTTGGTAAGTCAGCAAACATGACAAGTCGAGTAGCCATAAAATGAGGCGTACGATCCTCCTTCATCCAAAGGGTTTTAATTAAACAATAGTGAAATATTTTAGTTTAAATAATTTTCTATCTTATTATTTTATGACTTAATTCTTCTATAAAAACTTATCGACTTCAGGAATATAAACATTGTAATTTAAAACTTTTTTGCTATATTGAAAAACAACTACATTTAGTTATCTTTTATTTTCCCTTATTAATGAATAAATTCATATCCAACTAATATGTTATTTTTCTGTAATAGTAATATAAATACTTTAATTATTGGAGAAATTAACAAACTTATAATATATTTATTTGACAAATAGGGCCAGTGTAGTATGGGCTTGATAGATGAGGTACTTAAATTCGATCGTCATTGTAATTGGTATAATTTTTTATATCAATAAAAAAATTCTAGATAATTAATTATGTTTTTCATAAGTCCATACTCTAGTTAAACTTTAATTATTAAGTAATTTTAAGAAAAATCTTTTATAATTAATTCAATCATTTATCTTCCAACTTAATTAATCTCAAATTAAATCTAAAAAAGTATGCTTAAAAAAAAGCATTTGTTAATGACGGCAATAAGAACCTAAATAACTAATCTTTAATTGGATGTATGATGTATTACTATTATATTTATCAAAAATATTATCTATTGATCAAACTAATATTACAAAATTCAATTTCTATGTGCATTTTAATATCAATTTTTAATTGAATTTCAAAGGAAATGTAAACTAATTTACGGTATAGCTTTCAAAATCTATAATAAAACTTCTCAAATAATCTATCACAACAATTATGAATATATATATATATATAGAGAGAGTTATAATTATACCGATGTAACTTTTACTAAATATTACACCACTCGATAACTTTATATTAAATGTAAATTTTATGAATCCAACCGTTATATCGAAAGTTTCTTATTCTTAGATCATATATACAAAATTTTATATTAATCCAAGATGATTTGATACTTCATTATTATAAAAAAAAATTTGATGTAATATATTCATTTCAAAATATACTAAAATATGAACACTTATTCATTTCAAAATATACTAAAATATAAACACTTTGATTACCTTTAAGTTGTTGTTCAATTTTAACAAAATTTGATATATACATAGTAATATGAATTTTTAATGTAACGGTTAAATTTACAAAATTCACATTTAATATATAGTTATTGAGTGGTGTAATACTTAATAAAAGTTACTGAGGTGTAATTATAACCTCCCCTTTTATATATATATATATATATATATTGCATAATTAGCCTAATAAATCAACTACAAATTCTACATTAAAATTTATTAATTAACTAGTAATTTGAATTACAAATCATTGTCCACAATATCTTTTTAATATTTTATTGTCTTGTTGATTTATTTTATGTCCATACTGGCACACTAAAGCTCTTGATATATACAAATTGCTTTTTTTTTTTTTAATGTTGTTGATTAATAGTTTATGCTTCTTATCTACATGTTGGTGCATTGAAGCTCTTGGTATGTACAAATATAATTGAGTCGGGCTCTGCTTTGATTGGAGAAGAAACATCAACCAACCGTGGTTTCATTTCTGGGATGTCTAGCGATTTTGTCAATTGTAGTGGAGTTCCATTCAACAACACCACATTACTTTGAATGTTTCCATCTTTGGGTGTCAAATGGTATTCTTCCCTCATAGTCATTGGTACTCTTCCTGGTACTGCCTCTAAGACAGGGTACAAATTCATATCATCGACGAGGGATACATTGAAAGTAGTGGAATTGGACATGTTTATTAGTAACAGAGTGATACCAGGCTGAAATTAAGAAGAACAAGTGATTGATTATAAAGAAAAATAGGGTTAATATAAAATTTTGTGCATTGTCCTAGATGAAATGAAACATCTTGGTTTTACTTTGTTTTAGTAATTATTTCCAAATAATTGTTACAGTTTATGATATGCTAATTTCTTTTTAGTAGCATGATGTTATTAAATTCTATATGAATAGTTATTTTTGTTTGATAAAGGCCAAAACCAGAAAGAAAAAAAGAAACAAGACATTTTGAGATAAATGAGCCTACCCCTTTCTTTGAGCAATGAGCGTATGCACGCAAAAAAGGAGATCCTTCATGAGAAACTGAAAGCACTTTACTTCCCATAAGTCGATGCCACAAAAGTGCTCTAATTGATCAAAAAGAATTTTGATTAGAAACACATGTGAATTCATACTCATACTAATCACTTAGGTTGCTTGAAAAGTTTATTTTAGACTATTAGTTTGACAAATATAAAAATTAAAGCACTTTGATTATGCATGTTGAGTTAAGTTCTAAATGAATTACACATTCACCAATCGTAAGTGTCTTTCACTCACACATGTTACATGACTTACCCATAATAATCTGGGTTAGGAATGAAGGTTGTGGTGTTTAGCAAACCATAGTTTCCTCCAACCAGAGTTTGTCTACAATAAACATTGTGGTTTAAGGTTGATGTCATCCCCAATTGGTCCAAGTACCTAGTTATTAAGTTAATAGGCGTTAACATAAATACATACATACATACATATACAAAAATTTTGAAAAGGAGAAAAAACTAAATTCATTGGCAGATTAGACTAACCAAAACCCATTTACAAAAGAGTGTGACACATCTTTACTACCACTGTTATAGGCTCCACCAGCTTCCCCAACCCATGGTGTTGCCCACGGTGTGAATTCCTTAACTGCTTGAGCAACACTTTTGAAAGTTTCAGCAACTTGGCTCAAGTAATATGGGTCTTGAATCTTGTTGATAAGATCCTTGTCGACACCTTAATTCATTTGGAATAATTATTACATGTTCTTATAAATAAATCATCTAATCACTAAGATCAAAGTATTGAAGTGCATGCTATTGATATTGACTAAAAAAATCTTATACACACACATATACATACATACCAGCACCAAGGTTGTAAATGTGGTGAGTGACTCCATCAACCACACCAGGACCAACATTCAGTAAGAAACTTTCAAACCATTCCTTACCATAGAAACCACCGGGGCCTAACACTTTAGGCCTTCTAGAAGCATCTGGGTATAGTAGATTAACTATACGTCTGAGCCTAGTTATATCTTTAGCATATTGAACACTGTCTACTCTAGCTCCTATCCCTTCAGCACATAGCTCATTTCCTATTAAGTATGATAAATCATAATGCACAAAGGATTAATCACAGAAAATAAAACACAAAGTAGGTACAAATATATGTACATAAAATTCAAATATCAAAGGCAAAAAAAATTAATTAAGGCTTTAATTTAGCTACCTAATTCATACGAATCTATTTTATATCCTTTTGATATTGTGTACTTCATGAGACTTATGGCATTTTTTGGATTCCAATTTCCCACCCAATTTAACTTGTCTTCCATGGAATTTTTCTTTCCAGTGAGAGCATTCAACCCAAAAATTAATTTCACCCTACAAAAAAAAAAAAAAATACATGCATGTGAGAATTGAATGTAACATGCTACTAACATATATCACAGTACATCATGTTGAGAAAAGGATGGTAAGTAATTTAACAAGTACCCAGTTTTGTTAAAAAAGTCATGTACTTCATCCCATCTCATTTTAGGAAGGCATGCTGTGCTGAAACCAAAAAGGCCACCTTCTCTCTTTTTGAAATGAGGGCATTTCTTTTGCTTTCCAAATTGGTAAACAATTTGATCTTCCACTGAACCTCCTAATCTGATCCTTAGGGGATTAAATGCTGCCAAAGTTTAGAATATTAAGTAATGTGAAATTCATAAAATAATATTGTTTACATGATCATATATATATGTTAGACATTGGACCATTAAAGTGCCACATCTTGTCTCCCCAAAATTAAAGAATGAGATTGAAAATTACTGATGCAAAAACAAGAAACCCAGAAGGGACAAAAATATCTTTTCAGCATGTTTTTTGTTTATCAAATGATCATAGGATTAGACTTGAGAAAAAAGAGGACCTACCCTTGATGGCATTTGATAGAACTTTGTTATTCAAGTCCTACAAAAGTGGACAAAATATAACATGTGATAGGTAGTTAACTTTTTTATTATTAAAATTATGTAAGACGAAAATATTCAAGGTGCATTGGTGGCTAATGTTAAATACCAAATTCAAAATGCTTGTTTTTCCCCAAGGACAATCATTGTAGTTACACTTATTAGCAGGCCACCAGTCCAAAGTTGCACAAATAAAATTATTATCTGTGATACCAATGGATGTCACTCCTTTCACTATGAGTTTTACATCTTCTGCTGAAGAAATGGAAAATAATAAAAGAACAACATAACATAGAGTTACTTTTACATCCATTATGAAAAGTGATTGAAATGAAACACTAGAAAATCACACCAACTCTTTGGAATTTATTCAACTTTTATATTCGTGCTACTTGCCAATATTAGTCCACCTAATCACTATTTTTATGCAAGTTTTTAGTTGTTTAGGTTTGTCATGTATCTATCTGTTAGTTTTCCAAAAATACTATCTTATTATGCATTAATCTACCTGTATTGTTTTATCAGCAACAATATTCCCTAATCAATCTTATCTTTTAAGCGAAACCTTTTTCATTATTAAAAGACAAATTTTGGTCAAACATATGTCATGTCAGACTTTGTTGGCAAAAATTGTTGGTTAATAAATGGTATTTTCAATAACAGTTTTTCCTATATGTATGTATTGGGTATACTATAGGAACCTATTATAAATTACCTTTCATAATTAATTTAAGGATATTAGTTTTAATTTCTAGCTTGCTTAATTATTCTGTTGAAAAATTTAACTTGTTACCTAATAACAACTCATATTAAATATGAATTTTAAGATAATTGTTATAATAAAATTCAAAATACTTATCAAACATACATATATAGTAATTAATGCATAATTGAATAGCGAAGTGCAAAACTTTTAGTTATAATCTTATTGCATTTTAATTAAATTCATATGTATCTCTTCCAACTTATCTCTCTCAAAGCAAATAGTTTACACTCTAACGGTGTAAATATAAATTTTTACACTTGTAACATCCTATTTTTCAAAATTTAAAATAAAATAATTGTTTTAATACTATTTATAATATAGTTTTAATTAATTTATTTATTTAAGTTAATAATATAAATAAGGATGTTTTTAATAAATAAAGAAAAATAGATATGAGTTGTGCATTTGAGAGTGTAATACCTTTCATATTTGAGATCTTAGCGACTCCATTTCACAATACTTCACATGGTGATACTTCACATAACTCCTCTGATTAGAACCCTTCATCAGTTAGAACCCTCCGTGGGTAGCCCTTTCTAAGATGTTTGTTCACTTTTAGGATCAAGGACTAACCCCACAAATCAACACAAGACCTTTTAGTGTGCTTTGTCTTCACTCGCACACTTTCTGAAAACTTCCCAAAAGGTTACTCATTCCTAAATCACTCCAAGTCAAGCACGCTTAACTATGGAGTTCTTATGTGATGAGTTACCAAAACGTAGATGCATCTTGTTGGCATAAGTAGTACGTTCCCCACTCCTGCCCTCGCAAATTTAAATCGCCCCCGTCCCCGCCCCCGCAAATTTAAACCATCCCCGCCCCCGCAAATTTAAATCGCCCCCGACCTCGATCCTATTTTTTTTTCTTTTAAATAAATATGAACAAATTTAAAAAAAATATAAGAAAAGTAAAATAATATAAACTTTTACATATAAATATTTTTAATTTTGATATATATATATATATATATA